CTCCCCCTCCTCTCCCCCCTCCTCTCCTCTCCTCTCCCCCTCCTCTCCTCTCCCCCTCCTCTCCTCTCCCCCTCCTCTCCCCCTCCTCTCCTCTCCCCCTCCTCTCCTCTCCTCTCCTCTCCTCTCCTCTCCTCTCCTCTCCTCTCCTCTCCTCTCCTCTCCCCCTCCTCTCCTCTCCCCCTCCTCTCCTCTCCCCCTCCTCTCCCCTCCCCCTCCTCTACCCCTCCTCTCCTCTCCCTCTCCTCTCCTCTCCCCCTCCCTCTCCTCTCCCCCTCCTCTCCCCTCCTCTCCCCCTCCTCTCCTCTCCCCCCTCCTCTCCTCTCCTCTCTTGTCTCATCATCAGGCAAGAAAGAGGTCTGTCAGCTCCTTGCCCCATATTGCACCTTCAGACCTATTTACAGAAGCGAACGTCCTTGACCGTTACTGCCCTCCTCCCCAAGGCTAATTTCTATAGCTGCTTCCTCATTCTTGCACATCTCATTCCCTGGAAATTCTTTGTCATGGGAAACTCCTAGATGCCACTGGATTGTTTGCTTTAAAATGGTTACTTTCATGTTATGCCAATTTTACCTCGATAAAAAAGGGAGCAAAATAAAGATTCTTTTCAGGCCTATAAAAGCAGAGATAATTTGTTGTTGGCTGAAAACGTGCATTATAAGAAATGTTAAAGCCAGTTCTCCACAAGGAATTATGATACCAAATGGAAATTGGTCTACGTGAAGGAACGAAGAGTCCTTGAACCAGAAAATATGTAGATAAACACAAAGCAATGTCTCTCATTTTAAAATTTCTTTAAAGCATACCAAACTCTTTAAAGGAAAGACAGTAAGAGCATAGTGTTGGCTTTATAACCCCTGCAGCCATAAAATGCATGACAACATAGTACAAAGGACACAAGTGTGTAGTTGGAAGTATATTGTTGTAATGTTCTCGCAATATATGTGAAATGATTTAAAATTATTTGCAGGTAGTCTATAATAAAAGACATTAGAAACACTAGAGCTAAGTATATGTTGGAGATAAAGTGGAATTCTAGTAATTATTCAGTCTAAAAGAATTCAGTTCTAAAAGAACAAATTCATCGATATAAAAAATGGGGCAAGGAATACAGAACACACGGGAGAAGTACAAGATAAACAGCAGGCTGAGAGATTTAGACTCAACCATATCACTGGTTACGTGAATTGCGGATGGTCTTAATTCTGCAATTATAAAGCATAGATTGTCAGACTGGATAAAAAGGTAAAATGACACTATATGTTAAGCTTCAAAACATTCGTGTTTGATTTAAAAACCTGCACTGTAGGAAATGTTAACCCCACTTCTCTGTAAGAAAGGATGATATGAAAAGCTTACTTGTTTGATCCCATGTCAGGGTGTATGTGGGATCACTGTTTCTCTCATATCAGTGTCTCTCTCTCTCTCTCTCTCTCCCTCCCCTTCCCTCTCTCTCCAAATCGATAAATGTATTGTGGGATGAGGATGAAAAAAATTAACACAGCATGTCCACACAAAGACTTGAACATACATTTTCCTATCCACTTTATGAATCCTGACCCCAATTGGAAACAACCCATGCGTGGTTAGACAAATCATGGTACATCTGTGCAGCGGAGTACCACTCAGCAATAAGGAGGGAAGAACCACTGAAATACTCAACTACTCGGATGGATCTCAAAATAACCACGCTAAGTACTAAAACAGGTGGGCTCAAGAGTTACACCTACTGTGTAATTCTGTTGAAATGAAATTCTAGAAAGGGCGAGTCTAACCTACATTTGCTGCCTGGGGGCAGAATGTAGAGGAGGGGACTGACTGTGAAGAGACACACAGGGACTTGTGAGTGATGAAAATGTTCTCTATCTTGACTTCTGTTGTACACAGCTTCGTCATACTGAGGAAACTGTATAGTTAAAATGCGTGCACTCTTCCGTATATACATTTTGCCTCAACTAAGTTGTGCAAGAACCAAACACAGAAAGGATGAGCAAAAACATGAATGGTAAAGCGGTAGTTTTAAGTCAAACCGTGTCTATATTATATTAAATAAAATGTAAATTGGCCAGATACTTCCATCTAGAAACAGACACCATTGGAAGGATTTTTTTTTTTTAACCACACTACTGGCTGCCGACGTGAGCCACAGTAAAAGTACAAAGACGCCAATAAGTTGGACGTATGTAGGGGGATGGACAACGGCGTAAAAGGGAAATAGTACGCAAAGAAGGCTGATGTAGTTATATCAATATTAGATGAGTCAGTCTTCAAGGAAAACTGTACTACCAAAGATAAAGGGATCAGTCTCATAATAGTAAAAGTAGCGACTGATCCATCGGGAAGTTACAGCAATCATAAATATGTTAATGTCTGTTAACATAACTACAACATAGGCAAAGCACAAACCCACAGACTTCATAGTTGGAAGGGGCAGGTCGAAAAAATAGAAATGAAGATCTCAAGGAGGGTTAGCAACAGGGGAGTGGGAGGAGGAGAAGGGGGGAGAAGGTATAGAAAATAAGTAGCATAGACAGTAGATAGAAAATAGAGGGGGGGGCAAGAATAGCATGGGAAATATAGAACCTAAAGGACTTGAGACACATGGACATAAACTAAAGGGGGGTAATGGTGGGGACGGGGGTAGGGTGGAGGGGAATGAAGGGGGGAATAGAACAACTGTAACAGCATAATCAATTAAAAAAAATAAATTTAAAAAAACAAAAAAAAAAAGAAAATCACAGTTGGAGATTTTTTTAAAAGATTTTCTTTATTTATCTTTAGAGGGGAAGGGAAGGAGAGAGGGAGAGAAATATCAATGTATGGTTGCCTCTCGTGTGTCCCCTGCCAGGAACGGGCCTGCAACCCAGGCATGTGCCCTGACTGGGAATCGAACACTGTTGGAGATTTTTAACATCCTCCCTCAGTGAGTGACAGGAGGAGACATCACAGCCTGTTCAGATGGAGAACAGGGGCTGGCAAACTACAGCCCCCTGGCCGAGGGCAGCTCACTGCCTGCTTCTGAATGGCCCAAGAGCTGAGAATGTGTTTTCACTTTTAATGGGTAGTGAACAGGAAGGTGGGGGAGGAGGGGAGGAATGGGAGCGGCGGGAGGGGAGGTGGGGGAGGAAGAAAATGGGGGAGGAATGCGAAGAAAGACAGAGACAGCTACAGTGACGCCTGTGCCTGAAAAAGCTAAAGACATTTTTACTGTCTGGTCTTTTACACTAAAGGTTTGCTATCCCCTGTCCTGGCTGCTGCGGCTCGGTTGGATGAGTGAGCCTGAAGGTCGCTGGTTCAATTCCCACACGCCAGAGGCAACCAATTGGTCTCTCTCTCTCACACATTGACGTTTCTCTCCCTCCCGGTCTCCCTCCCATCCCCTCTCTTCAGAAATAAGTAAGTAAAACTTTTACAAAAGTGTGTGGCCCCTGGCATAAAAGGTCTGAACCATACTATCACCTACGTGAAATGTTCGGCGCTGATTGTCCTGTTTAGAATGCTAAATACGAAGTCTGGATTTTAGATCTGTGTCCATCCTACACTCTTTTCAAGGACAGGATATGCTCACCAGGATAAAGCATTCGCTGGGCCAGAATCAGTTCTCATTGAATTGAGTCGTTTCGAAATTAAAATCTTCCAGAGTATGCGTCCTGACCAGCCTGGGCTTGTTCCCCATTTTAAAGGAAAACTTTTGGCCTTTCACTGTTGAGTACGCTGTTAGCTGCGGGTTTGTCACATAGGCTGGCCTTTATATTATATTGAAATGTCTTCCCTCTGTCCCCACTGGGTTGGGAGTTTTATTTTTATCATGAAAGAATGTTGAATTTAGCTCAATGTTTCTTCTGCATCTCTGGAGGTGACCATATGATTTTTAATCTTTCATTCTATTAATGTGGTGTTTCACAGAGATTTCCCTAGGCTGAAACGTCCTTGTGCAGTTCAGGAGGGCCTCCTAGGCCCCCGCCTGCACTCCGGGAACCCCTCCCTTCCGCTGTCCCCCGCCCCCCACCGGCAGACCGGGAGGGGGATGGGGGGGTTGGGGGTGGGGGTGAGGGAGGACAGGGGGATAAATGAGTGACTCCTGCTTGGGAATCCACCCAGGGCTGGCCCCCACTCTGCGCACACAGAATGGGGCCTCAGCCAGGGCCGAGAGTGCAGCCCTTAGCACAGAAGCGCCCGAGTACTCCCAGAACTGGATGACAGGTGACCAGGGGTCGGCAAGCTTGTCTCACCCGAGGCTGGCCTGGTGGTGTTGGCACTGACTAGGAGGCCCACCCCCAAGCTTGGGGTCCCGTGGTCAGGCTGCCTCAGGGAGCCTCAGCAAGGACGCCCCTGTGCCAGAGCACCGCCCTCTTGGCGGGTAACAGCCCAGTGGCAGAGCGTTCCCCCAGGTGCACTGGGGTTACACAGTGCTCTACGGGGCGGAGCTCCATGAGAGAGTCCTCATTGGCTAAGCGGTCTCCGGGGTCTCCGGGACGAGGCGGCAGGAACCAGTGGCTCTCCAAGGGTCTCCAGAAGGGGCCCTTTGCGCAGGCGCCCTGGGGACCCCACGTTGGACCGCGTGGGAAGGGGTGGAACTTCCTGAGAAGGCCTCAGTCCCTCCTCCGCGGGCTGAGAGGGTCGGCAGGCCATCGGATTTAAGTCGGGCTCTGAGGGCAACTGGGAGGTTGCGGCAGCCATGGAGGCTGCAGACGAAGATGCGGGTGGTGTGGCTGGTGCAGGGGGTAGCCTCGGCGGCCCTGAAGACCAGCGTGGCACCGGAGGCCCTAACAGCCATGGTCTCCCCAGCGTTCTGGAAGGTCACGGTGGTCCTGGAGACCCTGGCAGCTCTGGTGGTTCCGACACCCAGAGCGGCCCTTGCAGCCCTCCTGACCCCGGTGGCCCTGGCACTCCTAATGGCCAGGGTGGTCCTGTCAGCCCCCGTTGCCAGGGTGACCCTGGAGAGGAGGAAACGATGGGATCAGCAGCCCTAGGTGCTCCCCGTGTGGCACGGGCTGCACATGCCTCAAGGCCAGCATCAGTGCCTGTAGGACCAGGAAACCGAAAGATGGCCTTGTATCCTTTCCAACGAGCCCCCGAGGCCCAGTGGCCAAGGGATGGTTCAGGGACATTGCTCGAGGCCAGGGCCTGGCTTTTGGGGACAGGGGACAGGGCAGCTGGGGGGGGGGAGACAAAAATGGGAGCAGGAAAGGGAACCTGCAGTAGGCTGGTGGGAGGGGAATCGACACCTGAGGAGGCTGGAGGGTAGGGAAGCAGGCCCGTGGGAGTGGGAGTGGGAGTGGGGGAGGTGGGGCGGAATGATACTGAGGGAGGAGGGAGGCAGGCCCAGGTGGCTTGAGCTGTCAGAAGAGGGAGTGTGGGGGTGGGAGGGAAGTTGGGGGTAAAAGACTCCAGGGGAAGGCTGGGGTGAAGGCCAGCCTCCCAGGTGTGAGGAAGCCTGAGGCTGGGCCAAATTCAGCTGCACATGGTGCCTTAACCACGTCTCCCCCAGCAAGCTCACTGTGCCTTTCCGGTGTCCCCTGGAGGCAGAGATAGCCCGCAGGTCGGTGGACCAGGATGAGCCACACCAGCTGCAGGCAGTTCGGAAGGAGTTCAAAGTGAAGGGCAGCATCCTGGCTGTGTGAGTTCCAGAAGGGGCCCAGATGGGGGCGGGGGGAAGTGCTGAAGGCCTGAGAGACGTCTTAAGCCTGCCTGAGCAGGGCTCTGTCACGGATACAATGGTGCACTCAAGGGTTAGGTTTCAGGAGGGGCTCTGGTGTGCTGGGTGTAAGGGTCATCACCTTCAACTTGATTTTGGCCCCTCGCTTTCAGCCGATGGACTGCCGAAGACCCTGATCTCCTCCGAGTGTCCGTCAGCACCTTCCTGGAAAAGCTTTCCGTGGTGATGGGGAACATTCAGCGCATTTGGCCTCTTTTTCCACCGGGTCTCAGCCAGGAAAGGGGGTCTGGGGCCTCACCCCGTGACCCCTCCTAGGCAATGCACAGGGAATTCATTCCTGGAGGAGCCCCACGCCACTCTCTTCCTGGGGCCTCACTGTTTGCCCATGTTGGGTTGGCATTTGGTTCTCTCAGCCCATTTGTTTCATTTCCCTGTTGCTGGAGGAATGGGATGATTAAATGTTTGCTGCTGCAGAAAACAAAACGGAGCCAGTGTTCTGTGTCTGAGTGTCTTTCCAGCTACTGCGCCTACGCATTTCCTTGTCTGTGTCTTCATGGTGGAGGGGTGGAGGGGTGCAGATTCTGGGACCCAGGGAGGAGCACACAGCAATCGAAGACAATTAGGAAAGGAAAGAAAAAGTCAATTGGGTCCTGACATTCAGCACCAAGAGCTGTCAACATTTTGAAATACTTTTGTACTGGTATACTTGTATTTATACATTAAGTGAATAATGTTAACACAAGTGCATGCGTTTAGTTGCTACAAGTATGATTTTGCGAGCTTAGCATTCATTTCTTCTGAAAATACTGCATTGAACATAGGAATAGGACCTCTTTCCAAACAACTGTTTTCCCGAGGAGGCTGTTTGATGAGGTCTGGAGACAGCACAGTGCTGTGAAAAACACCAAACTCAGATGGGGTTGGGGGGCGGGGTTGGGAGTCAGAAACAGGAGAGCAGACTTGCAAGGAGAGAGGGATTGGCTTCTCGGTGGGCAAGGGGCAGGGAGATGGGGTGGAATGTTCTCAGGGTCCTCAGAGGGCATGGGGAGGGTGGACCCACCCTGGGATTGGAGGGAGTGACTTCCAGGACCTGGGGGAGGAAGCCCAGGAAGAGAGGTGGATTCCAGGGACTAGAGGGTGTACTCCCTGGGACCTGGGGGTGGATTCCAGCAGATGGGGGAGGGTGGACCTCAGGAGCAGGCAGGTGGACCCTGGGGGCAGGTGGGTGAACCCTGGGAGCTGCAGGGCAGACCACACCTGTTGGTGGGTGGTCCACTGGACCCCAAGAGCTGGAGGGGGGCAGCTAGGGCAGGCTCAGGGGCCCCGAGGGCATAGGCTGCCTGGCCGGCATGGGAGGCAGAGGCAGGCATTGGAGCCACCTCGGGGGCAAGCCATTCATCAGTATGGGTGGCAGCAGCTTCACCCCAGAAGGCCTGGCAGGGAAGCTCAGCAGGGAGGGGGCTCCTCCACGTTACAGTGGAACTGAAGGAAGAAGTGCTTGGTTTCCCAGTTCCACCGAGTCCAAAACTTGCCCTTGGCCTTGTCTGACTCCCTGCTCCGCACCTTGAAGATGATGGCCTCCTCACAGGGCTCGCGACCATGAGCAGGTACTGCCAGCACCAGTGTGGGAGATCGCTCCTCCACTCTTAGGAAGCCGTGCTGAGGCACGATGCCATCCGTGATCTCAGGGTTGTAGATCTGGAAGAGCAGACTCTGCTGGCCCATCTCTGTGTTCCTCTGTTCAGTCGCTTTGTAGCCCGGCTGGCCAATCTTCACAAGTTTCTTCCCCTCCTCCTCGACCTTCTCTGGCGCCAGCTGGCTGGGTGCTCCTTAGTCGCCATGGCTGCTCGCCGGCCAAGTTGGTCTGGTGCTTTTTCCCCTGGGCGTGTGTGAGGTACTCCCCCTGTTCTTGTGGAGCCTCAGGCACAGCTTGCATTCACAGGAGCCCAGGTCCACAGTCAGTCACAGCCTAGACCCCGCCATGGACTGCTGAAGCTGCTGGCAGCTTCAACACACAGGTCAGATCCCAGAATTCCTCTATTCCAAATTCGCTCTGAGATCCGCTCTCCCCCAGAGACAGCCAGAGGCTCCACAGTGGCCTACAAAGCCCTATGTGATCCCGCCCGCGCCCCCGCTGTCCTCCTCCCCTCCCCTCTGCACCTCGCTCACTCTGACTCAACCGTGTTGGCCTCCTGCCACATCTGAGACACCTTAGGCCCACTGCTGCCTCAGGGCCTTTGCACTGGTTCTTTCCTGTCTGGGCTCTCTTTCCCACCCCCACCCCCCCACCCCCACCCCGGGGATCCACCTGGCTTACTCCCTGATCTCTTTTGGGTACTTCTCAGATGTCACTCCTTCAGAGAGGCTTTTCTGGCCACCTCGTTAAGATCGCCTTCCACCTCTGCCATCCTCTGCATTACTTATCACCCCACTCAGTGTCCCCAGCTCCGAGGACACTGCCTGGCACAGAGTAGCCCAAGGCACATTTGCTTTTGAATCTCCCTCACCTGACTCTCATCAAAAGCCAGTCTCAAAAAAAAAAAAAGCCAGTCTCTTGGCCCAGAACCTTCCCCGCCTGTGCCTTCTCTCCTCTTTTGCCCTGCATCAGTGGGTGGGGGAGGGGAGAGGAGGCTGGTGGGTTAACTGTGATGGATATACAACAGGGACAGGAAGGAGTCGTCAGATTTTAAGGGGTTTGGGTGCATTTAAACCCCTGGGGGTGAGGGGGTTGAACGCAGTGATGACTGTTAGTCCAGAGTCGCTCAAGAAACCAGGCGGAGGCAGCGAGCCAAGGAGCAGGGTTTATTAGTGGGGAATAAGAAGGGAAAGTGCAGCCAACCCAGGGAGGTTGGGAGCCAACCCAGGAAGGTTAAGACTCACTCGGTTGTTCCTAGGGCAGGGCTTTTAAGCGCAAAACCCCAGGAAGGGTAGCTGTTGGGGTGTCAGAGTCCGACTGGCTACAGCTGGTCTCGGGGTGCCATTTCTGCTGACCATTGTTCTTGATACATCTTGTCGGGCTCCAGTTAAACCCACGTGCTGTTAGGCCGCATAGGCCCACCCCAGACCTCAGTCTTAGCCGGGCATCTGTTTGTCCTGGGTAGGGTCGGCCGGCCGTTTCCCAGGCCACAGTTTCCCACGGTACTGTTTTCCCGCCTGGTGATTTTCCATTCCTCCCTAGGCCAACCCAGGCCTGTCAATGACATGACCTGCCCTTTGTCTCAGCAGGGTTTCCTGGCTGTGTGGAGCACAGCCAGAGGAAGGCCAGGGAGGACAGCAGTAGGTTGCCAGCACCTGGGGAGGGGGTATTTATGGATAGAAATGGCGAGGTGGAGATCACTTAAATAAATAGGTGGTTGGGATTATAAGTAGCCAAGAAGCCAGGGGCTGCCATACCACCTGGGCACAAAGGGCAGGAGGCTGGGGGTATTGCTGCTGCTGAGCTGTGTGGCTTGGTCCTGTCACCCCCTCCCTGCCTGCAGGGCCCCCAAACAAGGCGCTGCTGAGGGAGGAGGACCAGGTGTGAGCCACCCCCCCCACAAGGAAAGAATGGCCCAGGGCTGAGAAGCCCCATCCTCTCCGGTTCTGCTACCCTGAGCTGTTGCTGGATGTGAGGCTGGTGATCTGTTCCAGCTGCTGGCACAACGTAGGTGAAGTAGACTAATTCTTGGAAAGACACAAACTGCTAACACCAGGACAAGAAGAACGAAGATTATCTGAGCCACTCTGTACCAAAGAAGGAAAATGGACTCCTCGTTTAAAACCTTCCCATAAATAAAGCTCCAGCCCAGGTACCACATTTATTATTTCTGCAAGAAACGGTGCTACTCTTGTTACCGAACAAGAGGTCCGGGCTGGGGGGTGCCAATATATGGCCCACCTTGGGATGCCAAAAACTGCTATAGAACAAGGGGCCCCTCCCAAGGACAGAATACTAATAACTACTGGGCTCTCCTGTCCGCCGCCAATTGGAAAGACATCTCTCAGTGCCAGAGATTTGTGAAAAGGAAACAAAATGTTTACTTAATGCTATTTAGGCTTAATGCCTCCACCAAAATATCAAAGTCCTTTAGGGTATACTCCTACACCCACACAGCGCTCCCTTCTCCCACTGTCCCAACTCCGGGTACCGTAAATCAGGAAAAGAGCACACGTCTGTGTTTCAGGCCCCTGGCACTGTCAGCTGTGTCACTGTGCAGGCTCTCGAGTTAATCCAAAGTTCTGTGGCACTCTCTCACGGTCTACTGGCAAGAGTTCTTTTGTACCCAGTTCTAGTTATAGGTAAAGTCTCACTTGCTTTCCAGGCCACGCGGCCAAGGGGGCACCCCAAAGCCGCGTGGGCCTCTTCTACCAAAGCTGCAGGGGTTCGCACTCCACCAAGAGCATGGGGCTTTCTTCTTCACCTGGCTGCAGGGATCTCCATTCTGGCAAAGCTGCGTGGTTTTCCCTTTCACCTGGGAAAGGGAGGGTCCGCACTCTGCCAAAACCACGTGGCTCCCTCTTTCACCTCACCAAGAGGGGGTCCTCACTCTGCTGAAGCCACGTGGCTCTCTCTCTAATGGCTGCCGTGTCTGGCTTTTAAATCCTCGCACCCATCTTCCTCTGTACCCCTATTTCCGACTCCTCCCAGGATCAGTTACACCTGCCAGTATTTCTGTATTATTACATGTTTACTGGGCTGCCATCATTAGTCTGGTCAGTGATCATCCCATGTCCTCGAGCCAATCTTCTCCAAGCTCCCACGCAGGCACTGTAACTCGGGGGACCTGCCCCCAGTTACATCTTGGGGGAAGTGACTTCATCCCCCTAGCTCCAAGCCTGGCCACAGCCATTTAACATATCCAAGTGACCCGCCAAAGGCTATAGATATGTTAAATGCCCCTGCCATGGATTAGCTGCAAGGCTGTGGCTGTACAAAACAGCCCTGCATGTTCCTGCTCTATGTGTCCCTTCCTCCACTCACACCTTTTTTTTGCCCCCCCCCCCCCGCTGCACCCTGTATCACTCTCACCCATTTTTTTTTTAGAAAATGAAAGAATGGGAACAACATTACCAAGAAACCAAAACCAGACAAAAATGTCAGCAAGAAGACAAACTTCAGAGCATTATCTCTTCTGAGCATCGATGCAACGGAATTAGCCAGAATGTTATGAACCAGATTCCACTGCATAGTAAAAGACTAATGCACCATGATCGAGTGTGGTTTATCCTAGAAATGCAAACTGAATGGCCAACATAGCCTAATTTCAGGACGTTCTCTAGTGTACAGCAATCAAGATGGAGTGGAGCTGGTGCCAGGGTAGCCACCTAGATCCATGGCACACGGTCGGAAGCCCAGAAGCCGAGCCACACATACATGGTCGACTAGTTTTTGACAGAGCTGTCAAAGATAATTCAGTGCGGGAAG